AAGTGCATGGGCATGTTTGCATCTAAAACAAAATATAAATAGAGTAGTTCGAAGGAGATAGCATACAGAAAAACATTCTTTCTATATTCTCAGGTAATATATCTCCATTCATCAGGTATCAAACATGTAACAGATTTCTCACTATTTTAAATACAATTTTGTATGTATGATATAGGGTATATTTAGTCAAATATAGCATACAATATATTTTTAAAGATAATTAAATATGAGCAGCAGTTTTAGAGGATACAATTGAAGACCACCATTACCCAACACGAAGAAATATTTTTACTAAATGTAAACCATCCAGTGTGAAGACAGAAACATAATTTTTTTTCTTATCACTTGTCTGAAAACATTCTTTATTCAGATGAAAAGAAAAAACATCAAGAGAAAATCACTTATTTTTCACTTTTTTGACTGAATATTTCCCACTACTGTAAAATTATGCCTGGAAATTTCATATTCGTTTCACACCTAGAAAGGTAACACTCACAAATAAAATAATTTTAGGATGTATGCTTTTATTTTTCAAAATTAAACAGGACTTACAATTTGGTGAAAAATGATATGCATCAAAAGACATAATGCAATGTCCACAAGCACAAAGTATCACAGATTGGGATAAAATCTTCAATGGTAACTGAAGACACCACTTTTTTGCAGGTACATTTTTTTTTTTAAGAAAGTAATTTGAGCAATCACAGTGTTCCAGATATGTCAATAAATGTTTAGGTGGTCGCCTCAATGGTCAGTGGAACTCTGACATGGAACTCTTATTCATGATTAGATCTAATCTGTTAATCTGTAATTCTACCAAAGGCATTATGTATAGTGAACTGCTTAATGTTACTTTTGCCTCTGAAACATCAATTACAGATGTGCTTTTCTCATGGTATTCATGCATCTTTTTATCAAAGTGAAGTTGAGTTGCTGATTCATGGTTATCTTCAAAATGTATCATTTATTCTTTTCACATTTCTAAACATTTTTTGCCTCTTGTTTACAAATGTTATTTGAAAGGTGAATTGAAAATGTTACAGCATGCATTCCAAAAACTGAATGATGCTCCATTAAAACAAAACCCTCAAAAAGTCCTGTAAGGAAATGTAAACAAAGAAACACTTAAGCTATCACAAATATGGTACCTGAGTAAAAACTCAAAAACAAAAAATATAACCTGTGGGCAATATGCACTGGGTATCATCCTTACCACATCACAAATAAGAAAAAGGCCACATCACAAATAAGAAAAAGGATATGAAATACAGATAACATGATTTTATTACTAAATCATTACTCTTTCAAATAGTTATCTTGCCAGATCTTCCTGTCTTCTGAACCTCTAATGTGAGATTCCTGTTTAAAGCATTACCTTAAACATACTAGATTGAAGATAGTCTTGGTTAATGCATTAAAAGGGTTCTTAATTTCACTGGTACAGTTGACCACATGAGGAACACCTATGGGGAAAAAAGTGCAACACTTACAAGGAGATAGATAATCAACTTTTTTCCAGCCTACATCACTTCTTAAAATTTCATGTTTACCATTTAATATCTTTAATAGCAGTTTGGGAATCATTCACTCAAATTTCTTCTGGACAGCAGGATGTTTGGGAAATCATTTACATTTGGTACAAACTAATATTCTGAAGCAATTTTCAATTAAGTAGCTGCTTATGGATTACCTTACAAGTTAATTCCCCTATATTATTCACTATCATCAAAGCTTCTTTCTACTTGACTCTTAACATCTCTCTGCTACCACATGTGTTCTTGCATCCAATGAAAAACAGAGGTAAATGTGTGCAGGGAGAATAAATAAAAGGAAATCTGTTCATTCAAGAGGCCAATAGAAAATGTGAGGCAGATCGGTGTGTTAATATGTATGGGTACCTTCATTACTTCCTTTTGCACTATAGTACTCCAAATTATTTGGCAGGGTAAGGCTCCATAAGCAAAACCTGATTTCCCATTAAATACTTATCTTTATTTTCTCCTCTTGGTACTTATTATCCTCATGATGCAGGTCTGACAAGTTAATGCTACAATGGTTACAAATTGCAATAAGAAATAGCATAAATACTACATTTACTTCATATGAGGCATTCTAAGCAACAACAATGAACATCTCAAATGGAAATCTTTAGAAACTGGCCAGTCTACAAAGTCAATGAGAATGATTTCAGTTTCCAAAGTCTTCTTGGCCAAGTGATTGCAATACTTTCTGAATTCCGTACTGATCATTATAAAGCAAAAAGAATGTTCAAATTAGCCCCCCATTCCCCCAAAAATAAAAAGACAAAAGGAAGGATACCAAGAAATCCTTGGCACTTTGACTGGGATGGGTTAATAACTGCTGAGCTCTAACAATACCAAAATTAATTAGCCATACTGTAGGGATAAAGAGGTAATATCAAGTAAAGAGTGTCAGTAATAGAGGTCTTTGGTTCATCTATGACTTTTGCTTGGGCACAGCATGTCAAACTTTTACATACTGATTAGTTATGTATCTGCTGTGGGTAATTAGTGAAACTCGAACATGATTGATTTTAGAGTTATTTCCTATTCCATGTGCTAATATAACGTACACTGCTAGTTATAATACCAAAGCTTAATACTGCTAACTGAATGTCCTCTCAGATATCATATCAAAGCTTATCTCAAGACCTCAAGATTGTTTATTCATCATTCTTACTCTAAATGCCTCATGCTAAGAGTAAAATGTCATGATTTGCTGGATGCTGCTTCACATGAACCATTATACTAAGCCTTTGTAACATGAACATCACTGTTACTTTACCCTGAACTGAAACATTTAATTTGTTTTACATTGCATTGTGCTGCACAAGTATTTTTTTTAATGTTCTCCATATCATTAGACATTTAGAAGTGTCGTACATACTCAACAACTCCTTTTATGCGGGTTATACAATACTACATTCAAAGTACATAAATATTATGACCTAAATACTGATATATTCCTGCAAGTGAACCATAATTCACTCTAGTATTGTCTGTCCTGAAAGTTTCCTTACTGGTCCTGTCTGAGATGTCATAGTTAACTAATATCTACAATCACAAAGACTGTTTTACTTGTCACAGCATGAAATTATTTGGACTTAAATAAACATTCTTAGGTGATGTAGGACACCATTAGTTGAATTTGGGTTCTTATTTTTTCTTTCCCCTAAATCTTCCATGCATTCAAAAGAATGCAACCAATAACAAGCAGTATAAAATTTTATATACTGCATAAATCAGTACCTTAAAAATAAATTTACTACTGTGACTATCTGTAATCGTAGCAAAAAAATGTTCCCTTGGTTACAATCATCATTCATTTCATCTATCTTATGTAAGAAGAGAGATAACCAGGTTGCATCTCAGCCAACCTCAGGACCAAATGTATCTTTAGTGCTTGATGCTGAAGCCTTTGAAAGTGTATTCAGGAATCTCCCGTTCATTCTTGAATTCAGCTTTTGTTATGTGGGAGCTTGGACTCCCAATCCTCTGTAGCCAATCCTTCCTGCAGATAAAGCAAAAGATAGCTGAAGCTTTATCTAAATATGTCTTTCAATTAATATATTCTAATATTTCCAATAAGCATATTATAAATAATAGTTAGGCCTATGTGTTATTCTTTACCCCTATTACTAATGTCTTTCAAAAATACTTCAGTGTGACAATTGAATGATTATAAAATATTTTTGCTTTCTAATAGCAACATCAAACAACTATCATATATTTAAATGCCATAATACAACAACAAACTATTACTGCAGTAAAAAAACAACCAGGGCTACTACACATAAAAAACTCAAACTTGTGTCAAAATATTTACTTATTAACTGTGCAAAGTTTTTTATGAGTATATAAAAATCATCAACAATTCAGGTCACAATGCACAAACAGTATTCATAAAGAGGAAAAGAGCTCTCTCTCTCTATACATATATATATATATATATATATATATATATATATATATATATATATATATATATATATATATATATATATATATATATATATATATATATATATATATATCATATATATATATATTATATATATATATATATACATATATATATATATTTATATATATATATATACATATATATTATATATTATATATATATATATATATTTATATATATATATATATATATATATATATAATTATATATATATATATTATATACACATATATATACATACATACATATATATATAATATATATATAGTATATATATATATATTATACCATATATACATAATACATACAATAATATAATATATATACATATATATATATAGATTATATATAAGAT